AAATCCAGCAATCTACAGCTTATTCTGGGAACAGATGGGAGCTGATCTATCTTCAAATCCCCCCGTTGCCAAGATCATATCGCCATCTACAGAAAACTCGTAGCTATAGCTGGCTGCAGAGGCCAGCCACACACGCTGGCCGCGCACTGGGAATCTGCCAACCCATTTGGGCGTGCATCTCTGCAGCATGGCGCTATCTCAACACCAAAAGACGAATTTTAGTCACCGACCCAAATTAGCTTTTTAACTTTTTACATCAGGTGGCGGCCTAACCCGCTTCTTCAGGGAAGGAAAGCGGCATGGTGAGGAACTGGCTCTAAGTTCACCCAAGGTGCAGGTGCAGGATGCAAAGGACGTTGCTGGACTGCTCGGTGGTGGCATTCTGAAGGCTTGCGGGGTCCGTGGGCGGCAGTGGTAAGACCTGGTCCAGTCGGTGGAGCTCTTGCTTCTGTAATTGAGCCGGGCCGACAAGTGTTGCAAAATGGGGGGGGGGGGGTCCGAAATTAGGGGTACCTTATTGGGGTTATTCTGGTAAGGCCCCACTAATTGGAGGTCTGTAATCGGGGTCCCTTACTTTCGCAAACCCCCAAAATCTTGCTTTCAAGGATGCGGGACGGTCCAAATTTCGGCGCTCAGGTGCGGAGCACCAGCAGCCCAAATGGGCTTGCACTCACCAGACTGGCGAATGTACTCGTATAGCACGCCCCGAGCCTGATCCCAGCTGAAGAGCTGGCCTAGTTCATGGTTGGGATAAGATTTAAAAAAATTGAACTTATTTCTTCTTCCTTTTGGGTTTAAGTACCCTTAAAAAATGTAAAATGGTACCCAACTCTGACAAAAGTACCCTTAAACATGCAAAAAAAATGGTACCCCAAACTCTGACTTAAAGGAGCCAGTGGGCCTTATAGGGTTTAAGAGTACCCTTAAAAATGTAAAAAAATGGTACCCAAACGATGACTTAAAGGGGCCGGTGGGGCTGTGAAGGTAGAAGCCTTTCCTTGGCTGCACTTAGGAGGGTAGCTGTGAATTTAATTTTTAGCTGCCTTCTTAAGAAACCCAATAAACCCAAAAAGGCTAAAGATGTAAAGTTACAGTAAAGCACCACAAAGTTTCAAGGTCTCCGCATCGATCTTCCAGCAATCCCGTGCGTCAGCGAAAGCCCCATCCAAGTCTTCCAGCGGCTCCGGGTCCTTAAGAATAGGGTTTAGGTCTTATAGGGTTTAGGTCTTATAGGGTTTAGGGTTTAGGGTTTAGGGGTTTAGGGTTTAGGGGTTTAGGGTTTAGGGCTTCGGGCTTAGGGGGCACAACGAGGCCACTAGGCAGATCGCCAACCACTCGCCATCCTATCTGTACGCCGTAGACTTCGACCTGAGAACTTCGAAAGACCATCCAAGTGTCAGGATCCGCTTCCTCGCCCTCGCCCTCCTCAGCGCCCTCCTCATCGCTTTCACCGCTCTCTTCCGATTCCTTGGTTCACGACGTGGAACTTCGATTGTAGCGTTAGGTGTCTTTGCACCTCAAAACTTGCATCCGAGCTGTAAAAACCAAACCGCAACGAACAAAACATCACTCGTAATTCAACCGGGGCTCTGAACCCAGGTCACTGCGGAAGAGCGGTGTGAATTCGTTTCCATGGCAGCTGTTCAGTCGCACCATGGATCTCCCTCAAACATTAGAACTTTGGCCTCATGCTTTTTGGCCACTTGCCTAGCTGAGGTGTGCACCGGGTTGAGGACTGGGGGGCTTGGTCAGTGTGGCGCCAAACCCGGTACTATTTCCTGGCCGGCAGGACGTGACGCATAAATAACACTTGGGAAAAGTTGCGGCATGGACAAAGACTTGATCCACGTGCGTGATGTCCAGGCAACTCCCACAACAGCTTCCCCACAAACAAAGAGCACGCTGCGCCCCTTCCCCCGAGAACATGACCTCGCAGGTGCAGCGGAACAAAGCCATGGAAAGGCAGTGTCGCGCACGCGCACGCGCACAAACAGCACCTGCCTTGGGGACGAAATGAACCCTAAAAGGGTTTATGGTTCATATACCTTAATAGGAGTTATAGTAGTAATGGGTATATGACCCCCAATTTTAGGGTTCATTTGGTCCCCAAGGTGCGGGCCTCCTCCCAGGCCAACGCTTCGCTGCGTTGCGCTGCGGCTGCAGCTGCGGATCCGAGCTCCGCAGCCCAGGGCCCAGCATCCGAGGCCGTGCCTTTCCTGTCCAGGGTTTAGGGTTTAGGGTTTAGGGTTTAGGGTTTAGGGTTTAGGGTTTAGGGTTTAGGGTTTAGGGTTTAGGGTTTAGGGTTTAGGGTTTAGGGTTTAGGGTTTAGGGTTTAGGGTTTAGGGTTTAGGGTTTAGGGTTTAGGGTCAGGGTTTAGGGTTTAGGGTTTAGGGTTTAGGGTTTAGGGTTTAGGGTTTAGGGTTTAGGGTTTAGGGTTTAGGGTTTAGGGTTGGGTTCGGCCGGTCCACACTAACAGTCACCACCAGCAGACCCACAAATAGAAGCACCCGGTAAATGCCAAAAAATTGACTGAGATTCCTGCTATTCCTGGTGCTATTCCTGGTGCTATTCCTGGTGCTATTTCTGGTGCTATTTCTGGTGCATTTTTTTGTGCTATTCCTGGTGCTATTTCTGGTGCTATTTTTTGTGCTATTGTTTGTGCTATTTCTGGTGCTATTTTTTGTGCTATTGTTTGTGCTATTTCTGGTGCTATTTCTGGTGCTGTTGCTGGTGCTATGTGACTAACAATCACCATCAGCAGACCCACAAAAAACAGCACCCGGTAAATGCTAAGCTGCTAAAATTGACTGGGATTCCTGGTGCTATTTCTGGTGCTATTGTTTGTGCTATTTCTGGTGCTATTTTTTGTGCTATTCCTGGCGCTATTTCTGGTGCTATTTTTTGTGCTATTTCTGGTGCTATTTCTGCTGCTATGTGACTAACAGTCACCACCAGCAGACCCACAAAAAGAAGCACCCGGTAAATGCTAAAATTGACTGGGATTCCTGGTGCTATTTTTGGCCTGTGTGTTATAAGGCCACGGCGTTATTTGACTGTTAGTGTGGACCGGCCGAACCCAAGTTTAGGGTTTAGGGTTTAGGGTTTAGGGGTTAGGGTTTAAGGGGGTGGGGGGGAGTCTTCTGGCAAAGCCTCCAAGCAGTTGCGTCCAACAGCCAGCTTTTTTTTTTGAGGCGTTATACTCCGAAGTTTCTCAGCGGGGGGGTGTCACTCAAGACGGTTCAAGCTTGCACACGCCCTGCAACTCAAGAATAACGAAAGTACGGCCTTGCAGGTGGATGTGGAACTTTAGGGTTTAGGTTCGATCAAGCTTTTGACCTCTGGAAGCCTATGCCCAGAATGGTCAATTAAGCCCAACACCACTGCACAAACATTAGACTTGCCCCGACTCATGCTGGGGGAAAAGAAGTCGAGAGCCTCTGTGCAAAAGCACCCTAAACCCTAAACCCTAAACCCTAAACCCTAAACCCTAAACCCTAAACACCCTAATCCCTAGACCCTAAACCCTAAACCCTAATGGCAGTTCCAGAAGATATGCTTCGAGCATTCTACATTGCTCATGAAGATACCCTTAGCACCGCTCAGTCGCCCTCTGCTGGCAGTTCTGTGCAAACAACAAGCAGAGAACACACACGCTTTTACTCGTACTTGTCTATCTTCCTGGTACTTTCTGTCAGCATAGCCGTAGCCATGGAGATTAGGAGAGGCTGAACCTGCCTCTTGCCTTAGGCAGCAGCCCAGGTAAATTGCAGGCAGAAACAAGGCTGACAAACGAAAGCGGAACTTTACAGTTCCGGGTTTAGGTTTAAAGCTTTCGCTCCACCTTCCCTTGCTGCTTAGGGCTTGCAAGCTCTCAACTCTACAGAGTCCCAGATGGGCCCCTGAGGCCTCAAGCTCTGCTGGCTGCACGGGTAGAAGCCAACTACTCGGAAGATGGTGCCCGCAGCGAAGAGCACCTACCAATTGGAGCAGGAACGGCCAAGAGCGTTGCCACACAATTTGACACATGAGGTGGGCATTCTTGGCGGTTTAGGGTTTAGGGTTTAGGGTTTAGGGTTTAGGGTTTAGGGTTTAGGGTTTAGGGGAGTCATAACATGGGTCAGATCCGGGCAGGGGCAGGGTACTTCAGGATTGGGATTTACTTTGTGCATGCAGACTGGAAGTGCATTCTCATTTTTGCAGGAGTCAATATCGCATCTGTGGCTTCGGCATCCGAATCCTCGTGGTTTTGAAGCCCACTGCTAATTGTAGCGTCGGAGCTTGGAAAGTTGGAGTTGAAAGATTTTCTGGATGTGCGTGTAGGCCTCTTAAAGCAAAAATGGGGTGCTGTGGGCATGGCTTGAGCGCTCGGTCAGGATTGTACATCGAATGATCCAGCCGTGAGGTATGGGTTTAGGGTTTAGGGTTTAGGGTTTAGGGTTTAGGGTTTAGGGTTTAGGGTTTAGGGTTTAGGGTTTAGGGTTTAGGGTTTAGGGTTTAGGGTTTGAGGGCTGAAGCGGTCGTGTTGATTTGCACAAGAAAGACCTGGCAGCGTGAAGCCTGGAAAAACCAAAAACCTAAAAGCCCGTAAGGCGCACACAACAGGGGCCTTAACAATTGGAATGCGTTTTTTTTCTTTTTTCCGGGGGGCGGGGGGGGGGGGGGGGGGGGGGGGTAAGTATAGTATAAATTATAAAGGGATCGTAAGGGAATACTATTAGGACTTACTCCGAGCCCCTATATTACAACCCTAAACCCTAAACCCTAAACCCTAAACCCTAAACCCTAAACCCTAAACCCTAAACCCTAAACCCTAAACCCTAAACCCTAAACCCTAAACCCTAAACCCTAAACCCTGCACCGCCTCCTGGTGCTCCGGGGTGGCTGAGAAATCTGCGACTGGACGAGCACTTGCTGCGCGGCCTTGGTTTGGGAGACACTCCCATCATAGTGTAGGGTTTAGGGTTTAGGGTTTAGGGTTTAGGGTTTAGGGTTTGGGGTTTGGGGGTTTGGGGTTTGGGGTTTGGGGTTTTGGGGTTTGGGGTTTGGGGTTTGGGGTTTGGGGTTTGGGGTTTGGGGTTTGGGGTTTGGGGTTTGGGGTTTGGGGTTTGGGGTTTTGGGGTTTGGGGTTGGGGTTTGGGGTTTGGGTTTTTGGGGTTTGGGGTTTGGGGTTTGGGGTTTGGGGTTTGGGGTTTGGGGTTTGGGGTTTGGGGTTTGGGGTTTAGGGTGTCCGAGGAACCATCCATTCTTAAGAATGCAAGCGCTGTGCCGCGAGACTCCTGAATTGACGGGCTCTTGATCGCGACAAGTATTTGATGCTCTGGCCCTTGCTTGGGTAGTTGCATGTCTTCGCACGCAACATAAGCAAAACCATGGTGCACATCCCTTTGCTCTACGTTCTGACTTCAAGGACTCAAGGGCCCAGCAGCCCCCATTGAAAACAAGTTCAGGTCGTCGACATCACGCTTTTCGCAAGCAGAAGTTTTCGCCTGTCGGTGTCCGTCTTCAGACGCTGCGGTGAAACTTGCAACCATGGTTTCCCAGCAAACACACGTTCTGGCTTGAGGGTGTCCACTGGCGCTCCACTCTCTCTCTCTCTCTCTCCTTCTTTCTTTCTTTCATTCTTTCTTTATCTTACTTCTTTCGTTCTCGAAGGGTAGTTATATGGTCCTACAGATGGTCCCTATCTGCTTAATTATGGGGTATACAAGGGGTCCCCATTTTTTATGGCCCATATGAAGGGACCACGTAGCGACTCTTAGACTTTCTTTTCTTTTTTTCACGCAGCCTAGGGGCCTGCGCTTAGCACGCCCCCTTGCGCAAATTGAGCCTCTCAACGGGCAAGAGGATGGGGTCTGTGGACGTGAAAGTGGCATGGTAGACCGAAAGGGCAAGTACACTCTCGAAAGCCCTCGAGGCTTCTTTGGGCCTAAGCAGCAACAGAAGTGGCAACCCGGCCCACAGCCCCCGGTGTGGGGCACTGTCCCGATTAGGTGCTGATGACGCTTCCAGCGCCCAAGCCCAAAACAAAGGGCAGGCATAGCCTGGTCGTCACGCGCAGCAGATATGTGTCGGTTGCGGGCGGCAACTTTCAAGGGAAGTATTACCATGCTTTGCGCCCAGTGTCGGACTATTGCGGTAGCTGGCGAAGATCAAGGTTACTCACAGAGGAGTTTGAGGAAATGCTGGAGGCTGGAGCTCCGGGCCACTGGCGATGTAATGATCAAAGCACCACCGACGGGAAGCGTCACGTATCGGGCTCTGCCAAGACAAGGTTCTTCGAGCAACAGTTTCCGCCGGTCCCCAGGATGCGTGTAATGGTTCCCTAAACCCTAAACCCTAAACCCCAAACCGGATTTGGGCATGGAAACGGATGCTGCGACTCGTCACACGCATCTGCGGACCGGGGGTCGTCATGCCAAGAAATACCAGAGGCATGTTGCGGAGAACATGCGCCTGGCTCCCAAATGGCCAGGAACTTATCTTTTCTTTCTTTCCCGCCTAGGAGATGCCAGGAGGTCACCCCCGTGCAAGTTTGCCCACCCTGTTTGGGTATGGTAGCAACTATGAACGAGAAGGGCGCAGGACCAGCGACAACCAACACCTGCGGACTCTCTCTGTCACTCTCCCTCTCTGTCGGATGTCCGGAGATTTAGGGTTCAGGGCCTAGCCGAAAACTCACGAAAGCCTTGCAAAACCCTTGCTCGTTACGCTTGACTACGCCTGCAACGAGCGGATTCTCAACCTCCGGCCTTATGAGCCTGGTTCTAAGTAGGGAATGAGGGAATTAGGGCCCTACAAACCCTATAAGGGATTATGTAGGGTACCCCATTCCCTCCTAAGAACCAGCCAGTCCCCAAACCCTAGACCCTAAACCCCAAAAACCCTCAAGACGCTGTGCTTGCAAGGTGCGGATTTTGAAAACCAGCCCGCAAGCTGCCGCTGGCTCGCCATGGAGGGCGAGCTCTTCGGCCAGCGCTGGGTCCTCTGACGCTTTGCGGTTTAGGGTTGGTTTAGGGTTTAGGGTTCAGGGTTCAGGGTTCAGGGTTTAGGGTTTAGGGTTTAGGTTTAGGGTTTAGGGTTTAGGGTTTCGGGTTTAGGGTTTAGGGTTTAAGGTTCAGGGTTTTGGGTTTAAGGTTCAGGGTTTTGGGTTAGGGTTTAGGGTTCCTTGGGATTCGACAGAGCCTCAGAGCCTCTGCAAACTTAGCAGGGAATTTGTATGGCCGCAGGTTGCAGCACAAGCCTTCAAGCCTTTTTTATCTGCTTGGCGCCCAAGGTGCCACAGCACATCTCTTCTGAAGTTTGCTTGTGTGTGCTCACCCTGAACTCCGTGAATTGCCCTCGATGGGCGTAGTTTCGCATTAGGGAACCTCGCAGAGATACAAAGCTTTCGAGCTCTGAGCTCCGGAGATTTTACCGCCCAGTCTTTGCAACTTTAGGAAGCCTGGCCATCTCTTTGCAGTATGACTGCTTCTTGCTCTCTTCTTTCCTAGTCTGCCTCCCGCACCATGGTCCTGTGTACAGGAGGCGGCGTGCCTGACAAGAGACATGACTCTCGGAACTGAAGTTGGGAGTCAAAAAGATTTGTGGCAAGACTGCTGGAGAACTTGGCGACATGGAGGCCACCTCTCTGAACCCCACGAACCTTCATCCATCGTGTAACCTGCACCACTGGAGCCCAAAATCCTGAACGGCAGCCTCTGCCGACGTGAACCCTGCAGACATTCCTTTGTCGGGCTCAAGGCTCTTCTGGATGCAAAGCCGAGGAGCTCAAAGAACTGGGGGCTTGGAGTTCGGGATCTTGAGTTTTCAGGGTTTAGGGTTGAAAGGGTTTAGGGTTTAGGGTTTAGGGGCCGGGCTTAGGCTTCGAGGCCATTGGATGCAGGCTCAAAGCGCGTTGCCCCTGCGTGGTGGCCTCCACATGACGATACTTCCAGGTCGATAGCCTTGGCGCTGCTATTTCATGGATGCTCGGCCCTAGACCCTAAACCCAAAACCCCAAACCCTGGCAACTGGGCTCGGGGACTAGCCAGTACTGAGAACTCTGCACGCAAAGACCCTGAACCCTAAACCCGGAACCCTAAACCCTAAACCCTAAACCCTAAACCCTAAACCCTAAACCCTAAACCCTAAACCCTAAGCCCTACATAACAAGGTGGAGAAGTGTCAATGACTCGTCTAGGCCCCGAGGTCGCCAAACGAGGGATTCGCCTACACTACACACCTGGCAGGGCGAGGCTGCAAGTCCCAAACCTAGGGTTTAGGATTTAGGGTTTAGGGTTAAGAGTTCAGGGTTTAGGGTGGGGGTTTAGGCTGGGGTTTAGGGTTTCGGGCAAATGTTCTCGAAAGTTGGGGAGACAGAAAGAAACTAGACGAACAATGAAACTTGCATGAGACCAAAACACCCCCTAATCAAACAACAAAAGGAAATGACCGCTAATTGATACAGTTCTCCAGCAGAGGCTTCTACTTGTCCTGGAATAACAAAAATGCTTCTCAAGTTAATAGGCTTCATGCTTTTCCCCTTTTTGCAGGTCCGCAAGAATTCTAGCCCCGCAGTTCTCGTGTGGCATTGTCCTTTCACTTTGGCTTTCCGCAATTCCAAAAGGAAGCTGCCTTAGAAAGGCATTCGATGTCAGAAGCCTACACGATCGGTTTAGGGTTTAGGGTTTAGGGTTTCCACCCATCGAAAACCTTAACCTGAAGCTCCGAATCCCAAGCCCCGCCCCAAAGCCTCCTTAACACTGCAAAGCCCGCTGCTTCCGCTGCTTCAGCCTTTGCGAGAGCAAGCGGCAGTCCATGCCGAGACGATGACCGCGCAAGAAGTCTCGCATTCCGCCGGTGAAGCGGATGGCGCGGAAGCAAACGACCTGGTTTAGGGTTTAGGGTTTAGGGTTTAGGGTTTAGGGTTTAGGGAAGTTTGGGGTTTAGGACCTGGTCAAACTTCGGGATTTGGTTTCATGGCTCTGCTCTCACAATGCAGGCCAGGCTTCGCTACTTTGGCGATTTTGTATTCCCCCTATGTCACCCAAGCCCACACTTCAACACTCAGAAGCGAGGCTCCAAGTGCAAAGGCCCCAAACTCTCATGGTTTGCGGGCCCTAAACCCTAAACCCCAAACCCTATAAACCCTATAAACCCTATAAACCCTATAAACCCTATAAACCCTATAAACCCTATAAACCCTATAAACCCTATAAACCCTATAAACCCTATAAACCCTATAAACCCTATAAATCCTAAAAAACCCTAATCCCCAAAAAGGACGCTTTCTTTATCATGTCCGAAGCTGCGGCCTTTTCGGTGCTGACAGAAACACAAGGGCACCTTACATTCCAATTACGAACCACGGGGTTTAGGGTTTAGGGTTTAGGGTTTGGGGTTTAGGGTTTAGGGGCCCTCAAGACACATCTTGATGTCTGGACCTTATTCTCCACCTCTTCTACGGGCTTGGGCCAAAGCAAGAATGGCAAGTAACAGCCATATGGGGATTTACGAAAATGAGGGAGTAGGATTCTCTTACAATAAGGACCTCAAGACTAAGGTACCCTAATTTCGGAAAAACCCATGTAGAGCCACAGACCCCAAGACCGAACCACAAACCCTAAACCCCAAACCCAAACCCCAAACCCTAAACACTAAACCCTAAACCCTAAACAAACACAAAAGAAAAGGAAGGAGAAGGGGCGCCTTCCGCGCAGGCAGTGCCTGGATAGCGGCAGACAGCTGGGCCTCAGGAGGCTTAGGGCTGGGCAGGCTTCCTTGAGAGTGGGATGGGGTTTAGGGTTTAGGGTTTAGGGTTTAGGGTTTAGGGTTTAGGGTCTAGGGTTTAGGGTCTAGGGTCTAGGGTCTAGGGTCTAGGGTTTAGGGTTTAGGGTTTAGGGTTTAGGGTTTAGGGTTTAGGGTTTAGGGTTTGGTGTTTGGGGTTTGGGGTTTGGGGTTTGGGGTTTGGGGTTTGGGGTTTGGGGTTTGGGGTTTGGGGTTTGGGGTTTGGGGTTTGGGGTTTGGGGCTTGGGGTTTGGGGCTTAGGGTTTTTTAGGGTTTAGGGTTTAGGATTCAGGGATTCATGGCGTTCTGTGGTTTCAGGGAAGCTTGCTGAGCAAGTGAGGTGACAGCTGTCTGGTGGCTGCATGTCCTAGGGAGGCAAAAAAGCTAACTGGATACATCAAGGCTCCACGGAGAGCTGTGCAAGCTGGGTAGGACGGGCCTTTAGGGTTTAGGGTTGAGGGGTAGCGTTTAGGGTATCATAAACTTAGCCCAACTGCCTGCACCATTCAGCAATCCTACCCACGCACTTGGAACATGGCATGGAAGCTTTCCGGAAAAGAGCTCAAAGCGAAACAGGGCGCATGAGCCGCGTAGATGTCTGCAGCGCGTTCACGTACCGCCGGCAGCGGCTGCTGTGAGAACTGCGACACCAGAGCAGCGCTAACTTCGCCTCAGCTCCAAGGTAACAGGTTTAGGGTTTAGGGTTTAGGGTTTAGGGAACAGGGTTAGGGCTTCAGGCTTTAAGCTGCGATTCAGCTTTGGGGCAGGCAACAAGGCCACGACATGCCCCTGGCCCTCAACAAAAGGGTGTCTGGCTGGGAGCGGCCTTGCACCCTTCAATCCCAATCACCGCCTGATGTGCACTAAGCCCTCGCTCTGCCTTAAGTTCGCCTTTGCCAAGAATGGATCTACAAATTGATTGCACTAGGTCATTAGGGAGCGAAACATTCGAGTCCAGAAGGCAGTCCTTCCTATTCCTGCACGAACCTCTATCCTCCAAAATCGCCCCCCGGATCAACAATCCATGCTCCCGGGGCGTGGCGAAATCCTCAAGCAAGCTGCTGTGGAAGGAAGAGTCGGACAAGAACAAGTTCAAGGCAATCACGTTTGCCGGGCTGAGGCCCACCTGCAGTTGTTTAGGGTTTAGGGTTTCGGGTTTAGGGTTTAGGTTTTTTTTTTTAGGGTTTAGGGTTTAGGGTTTAGGGTTTAGGGTTTAGGGTTGAGGGTACCTTTAGGGTTTAGGGACCCCTTTCATCCCCTGATGTCGTCATCTTTCTTCTCTTACCTTAAGCCTCACGGAGCGCTGGCAAGTGGAATTGCGAGCCCACACGTGCTTGCTCTCTTTTCTTAGAGCCGCGCTTGCAAAGCTTGCAGAGGTTTGTGGTAGAGTGGCTATGGGTTCACAATGGCACCTTTTGAGGGCTGAAAAGAGATGCAAAAAGGAAGCGCAGAATGAAGGAGGAATGTCCGGGACTCTAGGCGACAAAAGCTGCAAGCATTGTGCCCTATAATCACTACAGCCTGCATGATCCAGTGCTTATATGGGCATCTCCCCAAGTAAGGCGTACCCTTTAATACCCCCAAGTAAAACCCCCTTGAGAGGGCCCCCCCCCCCATTTTCATGCGGGAACCCTAAACCCTAAACCCTAAACCCTAAACCAGTGGAGGCTTTGAGGTGAACTGAAAACCCCAAACCCCAAACCCTAAAACTTGTGGATGGCAGGGACTAAAAACTTTGAGCTGACGGTGGCTGCCTGCGGTGTAGAAATCCCAAACCAGCTGTGAAACCACTAAGCCTCACAAAGCCCTGCAGAAGCCCGCCCGTTCTTAAAGCAACTGGCAGGAACATGCAGCCTAAACCCTAACCCTAAACCCTAAACCCTAAACCCTAAACCCTAAACCCAAATGTTGCACCTGCTTTAGTATTGGCCCCCTCTTAAAGACAATTTGGCTGAGATATTCAAGACACCCTGACTGTTTGGGAGTCCCTCTTTAAAGACAAATCGTCCGGGCGCCGTAAGAAAATTCCACCTGCGCACCTTTAAAAAAGATTGCCAGGCATCGCTGCCCTATCTAAACTCCTCCCTATTACAATCATATAAACCCCCGGGGCCGTCTAAACAGAGCAAATTCCAGCCTCGACTGTTCGGGGGAGGGGGGGGCCCCCAACACTAAAGAGGGTGCAACATTAAACCCTAAACCCTAAACCCTAAACCCTAAACCCTTTTTTTGAGCACGGGCTTTGGACGTATGCCGGCAAGCTGGAACCTTAAGATCTTCGCAAGATACCAGCAAACTTGAAACTGAACTCATTGCACCCTAAACCCTGAACCCTGAACCCTAAACCCTAAACCCTAAAAGAGTGAATGACACTTGGCCTCGCCTTGCCCTCAGCCGTCAGACGGAGGGCGAGCAGCTGCGCGCTGGCCACCGCTCCTTTGTCTGCGCCGATGAGCCTCTGAGGCTTCACTAGGGTTTAGGGTTTAGGGTGTTACCTTGGACCCTGAAGGTTGTACCCTTGGGTTTTGGGGATGCTTTTTAAAGATCCTTAAGGTAGGGTAAGGGCCATACTAGGAGTATATTACGGGGAACCTTTAGGGGTACAACCTGAGGGGTGACATCCCTTGTGGGGATTTCCGAAATTAGGGGGGTACCGGTAAGGCAGGCAGAAACACGGGCACGGACAGACAGGAAACGCAGACGCAGATGCAGACGCAGAGACAGAGAAAACCACGCCCGCCCACCTGCCCACACCATGGAGATCTTTTGAATTCTCGCATAGAACGTTTTCAACTGTCAGCTCGGGGGCGGGTGGGTTGGAAGTGCAGCCAGCTGGCGTGGAAGTGCTGCCAGTCAAGCAAGCTGCAAGCTAAGGAGTGCCCCACCTACCCAACCCACTCCAGGCCCTGGGCAACAATCTTGGGTTCAAGAGTGCAGGACGACAACTTAGCACGACAACTTGCAGAAAGATGCTGCGAGCAGAACATGCGCAAGGCCCTTGCGTCTGTGAGGTTTTGGGACAACTAGGTGTCCAGTGTTACGTGCTGGCGTTCCATCCCCTGATCCGTGCCCAAATCACAACTCTACATATATATATATATACATATATGTATGTATATGTATATATGTATAGTTGTGTATTTACATATACATATACATAAATACAATATAAATACAAATATAAAGATAAAATAAAAATAAAACTATAAATATAAATACATATATATATATATACACATTTGTTTATTTTTTTTGATTCATTTATGTGTTTTGTGCTGCACCTTCGAGCCCGGATCCGGAGACCAAAATCCGAAACTCTGGAACCCCTTAGCGACGAAACCCTGGCCACCCTAACCTGGGTATGGCGCCTGAGTGCCCTAAACCCTTAACCCTAAATCCTAAACACCCTAAACCCTAAACCCTAAGCCCTATGGCGCCTGAGTGCCTGTAGGAGCTCCTCTGCAGCCTTGCTCGGCTTCTGCTGCTCCTTTCGCAACGTGCAGTTCTCTAAAATGGTAACTTTTTTTTAGGTCCCTCTATAGTACAGGGTTTAGGGTTTAGGGTTTACTGTAGGGTTTAGGGTTGAGGGTTTAGGGTTAGGTTCCCGTATTAGTACGGCACCTTGTAGAAAGGACCCCTTGGCCCAAAAGGGATCCTGATTTAGAGAACGACCCAGGTGAACCCCGGAAGCTTCATCTCAAGCTTGGTGAATTAACCCTCCACACTTTAAGTGACTGCACTTCTCGCAGACGCGATGTGATTTAGCTTCTGTGTTGGCACGGACCCCCCCACCCGACCGTTTCACTGGGAAGAGACGTCGTCCCCTCCCCCTTAGCTGTCAAATTCTAAACAAGAGGCAAGCAAGTTGGACTGTCCAGGACGTGACTACGATTGTGACAGTGGCCGGGAAGGTTACTCAGATCTTGGACTTGGGTTTGAGTGAGGCTTGATCCGGGCCTGGGTTTCCGCAACGCGGAAAAACCCTAAACCCTAAACCCTTTACCCTAAAACCTAAACCCTAAGCCGCGCTCGGAACGTCTCCTCCTCATCAGCAGCCGCACCAGGCGCCGTGCCCACAGATGTCGATGGCATGGCCTCAGAAGCTCCGACAAGCTCTCGCTCTCGAGACGGCACTTGGCTACACTCAGAAGGGTAGCCAAAAATTAAAATTTTAGCTGCCTTATTAAGAAACCCAATAAACCCAAAAAGGCTAAGGATCTCAAGTCACAGTAAAGTACCACAAAGGGCAAGATTGAAAGTTTAGGGTTTAGGCGGGCTCATAGCATGGACCCCTCTCAAGATGGACTCGTTCGATGATGTACAACACAGCAATCCATCTCTTACGCGCAGTGCGGTTTATACTTTATGTTTCCTTCCTTATCTCTTTTAGGGGGTTTAGGGCTTAGGGTTTAGCTCTCTGTCTCTCTCTCTCTCTCTTTCCTAGGGTGGTTGTCGTCCTCAAGGTAGCGACGAGCATAGAAGAACTTGTTTGTTGCTTGGCTGCACTTTGGAGGGTAGCTATGAATCTAATTTTTAGCTGCCTTCTTAAGAAACCCAATAAGCCCAAAAAGGCTAAATATGTAAAGTTACAGTGAAGCACCACAAATTAGGGTTTAGGAAACTCGGGCAATGTTGGGTTTGAGGTATAGTTTGCTATGTTTGGTTGTGGCTTGCTGTTGTTTGAGTCTTACCGTTGCTAAGTGGCTGCATTGTTGCAGTCTTGCGTTGCAAGGGTTTTAGCGCAATGGCTTTTAGACATTTTGCTTTGCACGTGCTCGCATGAGGTGGCAGCTGGCAACTCAATAGCTACTAGACAGCGCCAACACGGTAGGTATTTACGCTTTTTAGTCACACTTGACAAGTTGTGAAGAGCGCGGAAAGTGGTTGACATACTTTGGACACCGTGCGTTTTCACGAGCGCTGCACTGCGGATTCGCGCCCATCACACATCCAAAATACCTTGACGTCCTAAGCTTCGTGCGGCTTTTTCGATGCAGAGTTTCGGCTTAAGACAGGCATAGTCCGGATCCATTGTTGCAGATTTCAAAGGTTGGTTTATGGACGCTTGGGCGTCCGCACACAACGAAACGTTCAGAAGGAGCAATGGCAACATTTGGTACATCCTTCAGATCAGGCAAGTAAGTATCGCGCAGGTGCGAGCTCAACTAAGGCAAACAATCCGCTGCCCCACGAACAGCCCAAACCCCAAAAAGTAACAAGCGCACGGTTTCTCAATCCGAAGTGTTTAAGAGACCGAGGCACAAGCTTGACACCAAGATGAGAAGGCCTCCCCAATCCGAAAGTCAGATTAGGAACAAGGTATTAGACCGACCAAGTGGTCACAACCTGCGTGGAAGGAGCGTGGCAACTTTGGCGCACGCCACAACACACGCGTGGTGGTGTGTGCCGACCTTGTGGCGTACCCTAAACACAATGAGCGAAAGAACCCCGCTCAGGGTTGTGGATGCTGGAGAGTCAAATTCACGCGCTGTTGCGCCAAAGCACCGTGTTGCGGAGCAAACCAAGCAAACACTGCATGTGAAATGTAGAGCCGCGAAGTGAAAATGTCGTTCTGTCTTTCTCAAAGCATCACCTACACTTTCCAAGCCTATAAGCTTGCGAACCCCAGCGTGTGCCTGGCCATTACGGTCCCGGCACAGATGCACAACAGCAGTTCGGTTTGTCTCACACCCTAAACCCTAAACCCTAAACCCTAAACCCTAAACCCTAAACCCTAAAGTGGCCACGGGACAGTGCCATTGTCCTGCCCCGCTCCCCAAGTCATGCGGCTCCTGGGCTTACAGGGGTTCCACGCCTTGCTTGCTTCGATATAACCTTTAACCCTTAACCCTTAACCCTTAACCCCAAACCTTGCCCTAAACCCTGAATTTTCTTTTCTTTGTTTTTTTTTTTTTTTTTTGGGGGGGGGGGGGGGGGGCGGGCTCAGCACCTTGGCTAGCACTTTGCAAAGCTCTGGGCTCGGCTTTAGGGAGGGCGACAGAAAGAGAGAGAGAGAGAGAGCAGGAGCAGGAGCAGGAGCAGGAGCAGGAGCAGGAGCAGGAGCAGGAGCAGGAGCAGGAGCAGGAGCAGGAGCAAGAGCAAGAGGAGCAAGAGCAAGAGCAAGAGCAAGACGAATGAATGGCCAACAGTCCACAAATCCTGAAAGTGTACCCTCCTAATCAATCCAAACCAACCTACCCGGGTATTTGAAGCTGAAACTTCAACCCATGCCCAGACCCAAAAATTTTAAACCCTAAACCCTGAACTTAAACCCTAAACCCGAAGGCCTTTGGAGCAACGGACATTGAGGCTGCCGGCACAAACCCTAAGCCCTGTAAGCCCAAAATCTCCAAACTTAGTTGCTGAGTTCACAGGCCCCAAGAAAGTGTACATGAAAGTTTTATTGGGGGTTATACTATCCCAAAAAGTGTAAAGTGTACTCACCCAGCTACTAAGCAGATGGGAGCCGGGACTCAGAAGCCCCTTGGCACAGTGAAGGTACGTGCTCGTGCTGGGAGACAAGTACTTCGGCATTGTGGGCAACCTCAGTGGGTTTAGGGTTTAGGGTCTAGGGTTTGGGGTTTGGGAGGTTCAAAGGCTTTCAGATGGAGTAAACAACAAAGAGCGGTCTCCTTCGGACAGCTACAAAGGCCAAAAGCGCCCCACCACGTTTGCAGACCACCGTGCTTAAACCCAAACCCCACCACCCTTTAGATGCCCGAGCGGCCAGCATCCAAGCCAAATTTGGGAGGTATCCGGCCACAGGAGCTGGACGCCCGGCGCCTGCTCAAGCGCATGACGCCATTCTCAGCGCCGGAAACGAGTGGACAAACACGGGGTGGGCGGGGGGGCGGGGGTGGGGGGCTAAGTGCCTTGAGTCGGAAGGCATGTGCAAAAATGGCCTGACATTTCCGAACGACCTGGGCTTTGAGCAAACTGCTCAAGTCTGTGGCGACCTTGATGTTGTGCCCTGGACCCTGGACCCTGGACCCTGGACCCTGGACCCTAAACCCTAAACCCTAAACCCTAAACCCTAAACCCTAAACCCTAAACCCTAAACCCTAAACCCTAAACCTAAACCCCAAACCAGCCTCGGCTCCGTCGCTGAGCTCATCTCTGACCGCGCGGAGGAGCTGGAGTCCCTCCAGGTCGGCGTTGCTTAAACCTTTGAGTCTTAGGATGTGAGTTAGGGTTTAGGGTTTAGGGTTTAGGGTTTAGGGTTTAGGGTTTAGGGTTTAGGGTTTAGGGTTTAGGGTTTAGGGTTTAGGGTTTAGGGTTTAGGGTTTTAGGGTTTTAGGGTTTAGGGTTTAGTGTTTAGGGTTTTAGGATTTAGGGTTTAGGGGTTTCGGGTTTAGGATTTGGCGTAGGTTGCTTCGAAGTCCTGTCGGGTCTTGAGGTGATTGACTGATGCTGATAGTGATTGGTTCAGAGCTTTTAGGGAATGGAGGGTCTTGAATGCAGCTGTGATCACAGCGCGTTTGTTGAGCCTGCTAAGCCTCCGACTCTTTTCTGGGTTTGGGGTCTCTCGGGGTGTTGTAGGGGGGGGCCTTGTCGTGTGAGTTGCACTGGGTCACTAGCCCTAAACCCTAAACCCTCAACCCTAAACTAATCCCTTATAAATAAAGTAAATACCCTAAACCCTCCTGTCATGACCCTTCCAGGGGGGTGGTACCCCCAGGGCCCCCAGCCGAGGGGGTCCCGGAGCCCTCACCGCAGCGTGGTCAAGGAATACAGGCTCCCAGCTCTGCTGCTCAAATATCAGTTTTTGGGACCCTGACCCCCTGGCCCCCCTGGCCCCCCTGGCCCGCCCTGGCCCGTTCAGCCTGTCCTCTTTACCCGCCCGTCCCGGAACCTCTATCTGACCTTCGAGACCTTGCTGGCACCCTTGACTCTCGGATTCAACCAACATCATGAAACTGAATAAGTTTTGAAAAGTGGACTGTTGTCTGAGTTTAGGCCTAAACCCAAAAAGGAAGAGGTTTGGGTGGCTTTGCCGCCTTGGACGGCGTGGGGTGGGAGAAAAGTATTAGATGGCCCTCCACAATCGGGCCAAAGCTGCTCTTCGGCACCTCACGAAGCTTTCGAGCTTGTTCCGAAACCTAACCTTCACAGCATCTACGCCCTATCACAGCAAACCCTAAACCCTAAACCCTAAACCCTAAACCCTAAACCCTAAACCCTAAACCCTAAACCCTAAACCCTAAACCCAGACATCAGAAAGACAGAGCTTCCAAGGTCTTAGCCAGGGAGCTGCTTCCCTTGGAGGTCAACTTCAACACCACCTGAGGATGACCCCAGCTTAGTACACTTCGTGTGCCTTCAAAAATAGGGTTTAGGGTTTAGGGTTTAAGGTTTAGGGTTTAGTGTTTAGGGTTTAGAGGTTTATGTCTTTTCTGGGTCAGGCGTCGTTGATGCACAAGAGCTTGCGCAAGGGGAGATTTCAGGTCACCCAGGCCCGCCTCCGACTGCCCGGACCAATGGGCCCACATGAGGGAGGACAACTTTCCGGCACTTTGCGCGAGCTTGGCGTCTGCCGAGAGCATGGCCTCCACGAGACCCTTAGTTCACAGGCATCCTGAGTAGGAGGTGATAAACCAGAGACACCCCCAATTCTGTGAAGTCCTCAACAGGCAGTCTAGAGGCCTCATCTCCGGCGAACGCGGCAAGATCAAGTAGGTTGAAGCCACGAGTGTCCTTGGGAGGGTGACATGCTTGAGGGGCCGTTAGGGTCTAGGGATAGACAGCTCAGCCAAAGCAATCTCCGACACGATCTGTACGAGAGGAATTTAATTTTGCCAACATCTGCAAGAACACATTGACACCTTACACTACCAACCACTACGCCACACAACCACATGTAGCAAGGTTGCATGCGGAGGGCGCCCTATACTGGAATGGTAGCCTATAGCATCCTCCTCGACACTTCTTCTGCACTGCAGGAGTCATGGGAGGAGTTTCAGATCTGTCGGCCAAGAAATACCGATGGCTCAAGATGCCAGAAATCTTTATGGGGTGAACCTCAAAAGCCTTTACCGCTTCAGCAACTGCAAAATCGAGGTTTTGCTTACTGCAAGGTGCCACAATGATCCCTCACCCCTGATATTAACCCCTCATCATACTAAATACTCCCATTGTCGTTATATTGTAGCGTATCGGGACTATTGAATATTAGGTAGGGGTAGGGGGGATTACATTCGGGGGAGGGGACTAACACTAGAACCCGGCTTTAAACCATCATAAGCCGGGCTGAGCCAGGATCACTGAATGTTGGACCTTGCAACAACAAGAAGCCATTAAAGCGAAGGTACTCCTCGTCGCCCCAAGAACAACTCAATTCATGGGGGCTTCAGGGCTCCAGCCGGTAAACCCTGAACCCTAAATCCCAAACCCTAAACCCTTCCGAGAATCCACGGCTGCAGGGTCCGCACCCTTGGCCAGTGCTGAGGTGACCTCACCGGCTCGGCTCGCGTCGGCGGCCTTCGAGTTTTTGAGAAGGGCCTATAAAGTGTGGGGTTCAGGGTTAGGGTTTAGGCTTAGGGTTAGGGTTTAGGGTTTAGGGTTTAGGGTTTAGGGTTTAGGGTTTAGGGTTTAGGGTTTAGGGTTTAGGGTTTAGGGTTTAGGGTTTAGGGTTTAGGGTTTAGGGTTTAGGGTTTAGGGTTTAGGGTTTACTGTAGGGCTTAGGGTTTAGGATTTGAGGTTTAGGGTATGGGCTCAGGGTTTAGGGTTTAGGGCTTAGGGTTATTGGATGGCAAGATTTCGGCAGGGACCCGTTGAAATTCCACAACGAAACTGTCAGAGTATCGCGGCCGATAAAATTGGAGTGTTGGACAGCAACAACCCCAAACTTCGCAAGCGGCAACTGTTTGGAGGATCATCCCCCCCTCCCCCCTCCACACCCCAAACGCCCATACTCTTGATAGCAACCCTGCTGCTGCACGCAAGCTGACCACACAACAGTCCGTACCCGTGAAATCGCACCGCCCATGGCGAAGTAATTATGTGGATTGTGACATAACCTGGTTCGTTCATCCACTTCCTACTGACTCCACTGGCACTTCTTCATCCACCATGTGACCGCTATGCCCTGTGCATGAGCAAGTGCAAGTTCCTTGGACAATCGATATACAATCCATTATGTCAAACAAAAAGTAAGTGTGTGTGTGTGTGTGTGCTGCGCATCACACGATGTGCCGCTTTACTGACACATGAGTTTTGAACAGTTTGCTTTTTTCAGTGCAGGGTGGGCAGCGCGCATTTCTGGTTCGTGCTGCCTACAAATACCTACCAGAATTGCTGTGATGTCAAAGAGGGGATGCTCTCTGACGCACCTGCAGATGTCATTGTTTGTGAGATCATCAACGCATTATAGGCCGTGCAGTGCATGGTTGTATCATGTGATGTCTTGTTGTCCAAGCATGGCACGCTCTTGTCGGAGCACTTTCGCAGCGAGATCTGCTTCTTCTTCTTCTTCGTTTTCTTCTTCTTCGGCTGGGCCGAACCTAAACTGACTGATGCATCTGGCAAAGTGTAAAAGTGTAAAGCGAAATAGTGCGAAGTGAAAAACATGTAAACGTGCAAACGTGTGTTCGTCTCTGTCTGTCTCCCGCTCTCTATCTGTTTGTGTCGGTCTCTGTGTCTCTGTCTGTCTGTGTGTGTGTGTGCGACTGCAGCGGCGAAGGCTTTGCAATCCATGGCAAGCAAAGGCAAAAATAGAAAACAATCTGAGGATCAAGCCCCCGCAATCTTAAAAAACTAACCCTAAACCCTAAACCCTAAGCCCTAAGCCCTAAACCCTAAACCCTAAACCCTATGGTCTCAAGCATCCTGGAGCCCGTCCTCTGCAGCAGCGCCCAGTGCAGAGTAAAGCTGGGGCTTCACGGCCATGCGCAGGGTAGTGGACATGAGGTCCTGCTCGGTTACTTTGGGTTTAGGGTTTAGGGTTTAGTGTTTAGGGTTTAGGGTTCAGGGTTTAGGGTTTCTTTGGCTTTACTTTCATGGGCTGGAGCTGGACATGAACATGAAAGGTTTAACAAAGCAGGCGAGCGTCCAATGGCGACTTGCCGTGACTGTTCGGCGCGACGCTGGCGCGGAGAGGCAGCAGTCGAAACCTTGGGTTGTTGGCCAATGAGAGTGCCGCTCGCTGAAATTTGAAGAGCTTGCTGCCTCCGAGGATCGAAGCCAAGTCTCATATTGAACTATTGTCGTAGAGCCCGCACAACGCACGCTTTTCCCCGAATCCGGTGCCACCTTCCCAAGAGAACTTGCTTCTTGTCTTTCCTCTGTCTGCTGTGTTTTCCAGACCGTCAGCACTCACCCCACCTCCCGTTGCCCTCCTCACCCTCGCCTCGCTCGCGTGCATCCACACAAGCCGCCGCCACGTGGCCCAAACATGACGGCCAGCATGTCGGTCTGTCCGGAAGTGCCAACGGGTTAAGTACTTGGCAATCTGGCGACGTTCTCTACCGCGTCCGTGTTGAACCACCTGTGTTGATCTTGCTTTGGCACTCCTTCAGTTTCGCGGCAGGTGCTTTCCGAAGTGCCCCTCGCCATATCAGGGGTGTGGCTCGCAAGTCGCCATTGCAGTTTTGCCCGTTCCTCCCTTGTTTTTCCATGGCAGCATGGTGCCACCCCATGTTCCTAAACCGAACACCCTAAACCCAAAACCCTAAACCCAAAACCCTAGCAAAGGCACAACACATGCCAGGATTACACAAGCCTGCCCCCGGTGGAATCAACACTTAACCCTGCGCTGCTTTTCAACCCAGTGGTTGGTTGGTTGGGTGTGAACCGAAAGATATAGATTCACACTGTACACAACTGTTAGAGTCGAACCCCGAATATACGGCTCAACTCTGAATCCGCTCATTCAGTCAGGGGAAATCCTAGGCCAAGCAGCAGGGCCAAGACGAAGCCCTCGCAAAGCCCGCCCACAGAGGCGGCCAGGTGGGCCAACGTGGAACCAGGCGCCTCGTTTTGCCCAGAATGCAATTGACAGGGAATTCTGTGTTTTCTCCTGTGCGCTGCGTGTAACAGGGTCCCGAATCGTTCCGAATTCCGCGGGTGGAGGGCGGGTGCAGCGAAAAGAGAAGGTACTGTGACCTCCCCGTCATTTCCCACATATGTACTTTTCCTCGCGAAATTATGCGAAATTCAGTGTAGGACACTAGACTAGCTGGTCCAACACTTTAACACAGCTTCCGATATGGAAGATATTGAAACCCATTCTTGGGTTTTGCCGCTCTTAGAACCCAGTCTATAACAGTCTATAAATAAGCCTTTGGGCAAAGCATTGACTGCCAGCCGGAGGGAGAAATCTAAGTGGGAACGAAGAGCTGCTACCTTGGTACTGTTCCCCATACTCTGGTGTGTTTGCTCGGTTTGAACTGAGAAGGGACCCCTAATACTACGATGGTCCGCTCTCCATGTCTGCCTTTCAGAAAACTCATGTGCCACTTTTGATGCAATTCTGACTGCGAAACGAACCGTGGGTTTCCTCTGCAATCTTCTACAGGCAGTCTCCGCACCACTCAACTAACAAACATGGAAGCCTCACGATGCTGAATTGCGAACCGGGAGCAGGTCTACGAAGAAGGACCAGATGCAACATAAATCGATCATAGTCCAGGCCCCAAAGCCCCCTAAGCCGTCTATCCTACAAGCCCAAAGCCAGCTCTGTGTAAAAAAACCAAGCCCTTTTGTATCCAGCCTGCATTGCTTCTGCTGGGTCCGCCCTCAAGCTGTTCAGCTCTAGAAGTCTACACCCCTGAACCCTAAACCCCTAAAGCCTTAACCCTAAGCCCTAAACTATACCCTAAACCCTAAACCCTGAACCCTATAAACTCTCTATGTCAGCTTGGAAGCAAGGCCGGCAGCGGCGCATCCTTCGTCCTGGATGGGTGCGAGCAGAGCGCTCCTGAGATGTCTGTAGGGCATTGGGCCAGAACCCGTTTAGGTTTTAGGGTTTAGGGTTTAGGGTTTAGGGTTTAGGGCTCAGGGTTAAGGGTTGGGGGTCCGGCTAGGATGTCTCACAAGTTGTCTAGGTTTCATTCTGACAGAACTATGCAGAGTTTTGGGGGGGTTTGGTGGTTTGGTGGGGCAGGCGAGGTGGATGGCTGGAAGCATAGAGTGGCTGCTTCGAGGTTGAGGGTGAGGAATGGGGGTACGTTTGGTACATTCTGAGGCTTGCAGAAAGCCCTGGAGTCAGAAAAGAAGCTGATCTAGGAGGGCCCTTGAAAAATCTTCCCGAAGATGATCCTCTTAAGCCCCAATAAGGGCAAAACGAAGAAAATGCCTAGTGAAAACCCTAAACCCTAAACCCTAAACCCTAAACCCTAAACCCCAAACCATAGTGAAGACCAAGATCTGGTCGCAATGCGGCAGCAGGAGAGCTGCCATGGCGTGCTGCCTGGACGCCAGCGCGACGGCCACTGGCGACAGCCCCTGAACCACCGCATCTGCCGAACCTGATTTGGGAGTTTCCGAAGATGTGGGGTTTAGGGTTTCCGAAAATATGGGGTACCCTTTCTAAAGAGTCCCGGCCTTTGAAGGGGAGATTCGATTTGGGGTATAAAATTCAAGGGGTACCCCTATTTTGGGAAAGACCCGTGTGGCAACATCTGGGAATCGGGGTTCAGAATTTGAGGTGTAGAGGGGTCTTACGCATACCGTCTGTCAGTATGCCTTTGTGGGGTGACGGCGTTTGTCGAACCTGATCAATCCAACTTCAGTTGGCCCCTGAAACCGTCGGCTCCAAGGCCCCACACTATACTCCCCTTAGAACCTTAATAAGAATAATATGTTTTGTATCCTCTTGGGTTTTATATACACAAAAAGAAAAGATAATTCCCAAGGGGGATATAGCCCAGCTCAGCCAGGGCACAGTTTTTGGCCAAAAGGAAAGTGGCAACATCTGTAGAGCCACCGGCGGCTGCGAAGTGCAACGATCTGCCGGCAACGGAGCCGTTCTCCAGGAGCAGCTCCACGATGCCTGAGGCTTGGTAAGGACTGGGTGATTGAAGGGTTTAGGGTTTATAGGGTTTAGGGTTTATAGGGTTTAGGGTTTAGGGTTTGGGGCTTTTCTTTCTCTGCAGGTTCTTAGCCGGCCCATAAGAGAAACAGGCGCTTTTGCGGGGCCCAGCCGCGCAGATGGTTATGGCGCGCCGCTGCTTCCACAGGCAACATCGGAGGCTGCCCGCCGAGCACATGTGGGCTTGCGCCCCGGACCTGTACTGAACTTGGAACCCTAGCAAAAAATATTTTGTTGCTGTTTCTTAGGAATTATAGTTCCCGAAAATTAAAAGTTATTTCCAAGTACCCCTAAGGGACGTACAGGAACTGCGCAGCCGTGAGGTGGCCGATGGTGGAGGCTAGAAGCAAAGGCGTGATGCCGAAGGGGCAGGTGTCCTGGGCAAGAGATTGGTGCCTTTAGGGTTTAGGGTTTAGGGTTTAGGGTTTATAAGGTGTACGGTGTGCGCCCCAACCGTCGCCGAGATACAAAAACACAGCAAGCAGCACACACCCGAATGCCCTTCTTGCATGGGCTGGGGGTTGAGCATGAAGGTCCTGAATCCTGAACCACCCCCTCCACTTCTTTGCATCCTGTCTCTCACACCCTAACCTGCAGAGCAGGCAGGCTACATGAATAGCACCAAGAAGAAAAAACAATCAAGAACAACGACACCAACAAACCAACCCAACAGCAGCACGAATTTCAACAACATAAGTAGAAATACGAACACACACATACCAACCACCTTACAAGAGCCCTAAACCCTAAACCCTAAACCCTTAACCCTAAACCCTAAACCCTAAACCCTAAACCCTAAACCCTAAACCCTCAGTCAGCATGTAAGTCAAAGCTCCGGTGGCAGCCCCCGATCTAGGAGCAGGCCTATCTCTGCGAGGCCATACTTGTGCTCCTCACCCGAAACGTTTTGCGCTTTGGGACTTCGAAGGTTTTCGGGTTTAGGGTTTAGGGGACTTCGAAGTTTTAGATCGGATGTTCCTGAGCTTTTCTGAGCTGTGAACTGAAAGCATCTTATGCATCTGGATTCCTATGCGGATGCGGATTTAGCAGAGTTTTTTGAGCTCTCGCAGCAACATGCTTGGGATTTCGAGCTTGTCGATGCAGTTGACAAGTGCTTTGCAGTCTAGTCAAGGCGTTGTGTCCAATCACATCTGCTCGGTCGAGTGGCACTGAAAAAAACAAGAAGAAACATTCTGCAGCTGCTCCTCGTTCGCCAAAGCAATCTCAATGCGCCTCCAGCTGTGGCGCTGTGCCGCCGCGCTCATCTCCGTTGCTGCTGGGGGCGGGGCCCAGGGCGCACTGAGGGGCGGGAGGCCGTTGAGGGCCCGGCGTTGTGTCACCCACCTCAGACAGTCACTCATCAACGCAGGGACTACGGGCTACGCGTTGGCCCTTAGTGGAGTCATGGATGTCGGGGTGCCGCCCTGCTAGGCCCAACTTGAAGGATCTGAGGTATAGGGGCGGGGGAGGGCAGGGCTGGCAGGACTTGGTCCCTAAACCCTATAAACCCTATAAACCCTATAAACCCTAAAAACCCTATAAACTCTACAAACCCTAACAACCCTAAAAACCCTATAAACCCTAAACCCTAAAAACCCTAAACCCCAAACCCTAAACCCTAAACCCTGTGCTCCAGGACACCGCAGCAGGAAGCGGAGGATGCGCGCTGCGGCCACGAGCTGCGTGGCCTCCGGGCACATCTGCCAGGAGACCCGCGTGCGCGCGTTGAAGAAGGTCGTGTGGCTGTAGGTGGGGCACGCGACCTTGCCCAAGTTAGGGTTTAGGGTTTAGGGCTTAGGGCTTAGGGTTTAGGGTTTAGGGTTTAGGGTTTAGGGTTTAGGGTTTAGGGTTTAGGGTTTAGGGTTTAGGGTTTAGGGCTTGCTTGGCGAGAAACAAGAAGTTACAATTGCAGCAGCAGCAACCAAGAATCACACCAGCAATCACCAAGACAACCCCTAATAAGCTACAAATATGTATAGCGGAGAGCCCAAGAAACCCTAAACCCTAAACCCTAAACCCTAAACCCTAAACCCTAAACCCTAAACCCTAAACCCATGCCGAACACGCCGGTTGCCTTGAGCAGGAACGCCTTGACGAAGGCCTTGAACTCCTCGGGCTGTGCCACCCGAACTTGGGCCAGCAGGTGCTTGTCGAAAAGCCTCTTTTGCCATGGAACGGTTGGGGGTTCAGGGTTTAGGGTTTAGGGTTTAGGGTTTTGGATGTTGGGTTAGGTCGGGGCTGGGGGACCCATCACACCAGTGGCGATTCAGTTGCCCCATCCCCCTCTTGAGTGGAATTCAATGTCGAGATCAGTTCAATAGCCCCTCCCAAGGGATTGTTCTGCCGCGGGCAAAACAAAAGTGCATCTTTCGAGTGAGGGAAGGGATGAGTGGTTTATGTGACGGAAAATGAACTAATTCTATCTGACGATCAGAAGGAGGGAGCAACGAGTTGGTGGGGTGTGGGGGTTTGGGGTCTTTCTCCAAACTCCCAAATTCCAAAGTTCAATGGTTTCAGGGCTTTAGGGATGTCATTTCCAGACCTTAATATTTGAAAATTTCAATTGTTTTGCTTTTTGCAAGCATTCAGGAATCTTTTCTTAGCCATGGACCTTTGGCTTGGCGAGCTCTGCCCCTTGGACTTATGAGCTTCCAAATCATTCGCTTTAAGAGTTTAGGGTTGAGGGTATACCTTTCTACACCTGTGGCAGTGAACCCATATGTGCATGGACATGTCGCTTGATTCAATACTACACAATCTGGCCACTTGTTTTCTTTTCGAGAGGGGGATGCGAACATATTTCAAGCTAATTGCAAACTACCTATGCTCTGAAAACATCACCAACATTGGCCATTTTGGTGGTTTCCAAGACGGCCAACCTAAGGAAAATCCCTATGTTTTGGCCAAGGCGGCCAAACTAAGGAAAATCCCTACGTTTTGGCCTTAATTCAGGGCCTGCGAAAGGCCAAAAACTGTAAACATCACAAAAAATTGCAATTTCTGGTGTTTTCAAGGCCGCCAACGTAAGTAAAATCCCTATGTTTTTGCTCGAATTCAGGGTTTTTGAAGGCTCAAAATGGTCAAAAATCGCTAATGCAATCTTTCAAACGAGGCTACCTTCGGATCAAGAAGCTTGTCATCAGTTGAGAAGGCCACCCCTGCTATTTTGATTCGTTACATTGCACATGGTTTTGCATAGTCCCTTGACGCGGCTGATCTAATTTGGGTTAACGTTGCTACCTTTCGCTTTTCGCAATGAAGAGCTCATTGAATTAGCATCGCTCAATGTCGCTCCTGCTTGAAATAGTCGCCCTCCATTGAACACTGGTTAAACTACCTCTTTCGCTTGTTCAGCTTGAGAAACTTGACAATTCAAACAAACTAGGTTCAGTTCTGAGGACGAGGGGTGATCTACTTTCATGAAAAACAAAGGAACTAGAAAAAGTGGCGCCTCTTAATCATACAAGTCTGCCCCTCGGAGACTACTCCATTCAGGGGCACATTGTGGCAACTAAACTACCAAATTTATTCAAGAACAACAAGTCGTGTCTCAAAATTCTACAACTCTCAGATTCGCAAAGTGAGGAGGAGGCTCCTGCCTCGGTTCAATACACATGATCCTCGTGAAGTGCTGCGCTGTCGTCGCCGTTCCGGGCTTTGCAATGTTCTTCATTTAAGTGGTCTTGGAGTGGTTTTGGCACGCTCCGGGAGCGTTTTGGGGGGTAATCCTGGAATGCTTGTGAAGTTTGAGGTCTGCACCGGCACTCTGCACACATCTGTCTTAGAATGGCTGCTATGGTCTCTACTCCCCTTAGTACCTTAATATAAAACCCATATTTTTAAATATCCTCTTGGGTTTTATATAAAAAATAGAAATAATTTAAAAAAAGGGGGATATAGTGGTGGGTCGAATTTAAGTACACCCATAGGCCGGCCTTCATATGGACTCAGGGAGCATCGGAGTCTTGTTCTTAGATTCCTTCTTTTGTCTGACTACCCCGCGCCCCAAGGAGATTGCGATGAGATCTTGAAAGATGAGACTCTTGAAGTGAAGACCAAGCTGCCCGAAGAAAAGGCGACAACCTGAAGCCTAAAGTCTGCTCCCTCCCTCCATCACTTTTGATTTATTTCTTGATCTCTTGATATCTTTCTCTATTTCTTTGTTTCCTTCTTTCGTTCTTTCTTTATTTCTTTCTTTGTGTCTCTCTCTCTCTCTGTCTCGCTCTCTTTCTGCGCACCGAAGCCCTCCCCATGGAAAGATTGGCTCCATCTCTGTCTCTCTTGTGTCTTCGTCTGCAGTCCATCTCCGTCTCATTCCCACTCTATCGCCAGTGCAGACTCAGCTCAAGTGCCTCAAACCCGAAATCTCAAACCCCAAACCCTAAACCCTAAACCCCAAACCCTAACCCTAAACCCTAAACCCTCAACTCTAAACCCTTCGCCCGAAATGCCCCCTTCAGAATTTCTTGTGTCCCCTTCAGAATTTCTTGTGTTGGGTGACTCTTCCAGCAGCCGCTCGGTGAGCCGCTTATCCGACAAGCCGATGGCCAGGTTGGGCCTGGATGAGGGGTTTAGGGGGTTTAGGGTTTAGGGTGTAGGGTTTAGGGTTTAGGGTTTAGGCGAGCCCCCACCCTAACGCATCCAACCATGCGGGAGCCACTGTGTGTCCATTGCGGTTGTCGGGACTCAGTGCTTATCGATAAACATATTGGATCTGTATGTCCAGCGTCGTTCAACTGCGTTTCGGTTTCCGATCATGCTGAACTGGCTTGTTGATTTTCAGAAGCTTCTTGAGGTTTACAATGTTTACTCCAACCCTAAGCCCTAAGCCCTAAGCCCTAAACCCTAAACCCCAAACCCCAAACCCCAAACCCTAAACCCTAAACCCTAAAGATGTGTATACACTCTGGACAAGGCACTGGTAGCCCATGGCACGATGGCGTGCAGAGCCTGGGCCCGGTTGCACTCGGCAAATTCTGTTCATGCAGTGCTTACACGGCGTTTTCGGGTTTAGGGTTTAGGGTTTAGGGTTTAGGATTTAGAGTTTAGGGGGGTTGCTCCATTCAGAATCCATGATTCAAGTGCACAATGATCATCAGGCTCGTGGGCATGTGTCTTCGGGCAGCAGCTTGGCAAAGGAAATTGGCTGCTGCCACATCCAGTCGGGACAACTCACAACTCGGATGGTGGAAGTGGGTATTGCTGCAAGTAGACCCAGACGAGCCCGAGTCAATGCATGTTGAGCTGACCTTGCTCTAGTCTCAGGAAACGTTCCAACGACAAAACGCTGCAAATCCTGTTGTTCCCACACTGTCTTTGTAGGTGAGATCCTCTTTTGCAGCAGGGCTGAGTGCCTAAAGGGTCAGCGCCTGATGCAGAACTGGACTTTCTAAGGTCCTGTCCACGCGTCAACCGAGACTCCTACTCCGAGCTGCCTATTTTGCGGCAAGCTTGCATGACCCAAAGAGCCCAACACCCCTTAATTAAGGGATATACCGTAATCTATATAGGGAGCCTTAATATGATTTAAGGTATATTCCTTAAGTAAGGGATATACCTGAATCTATATAGGGAGCCTTAATATGGTTTAAGGTACATTCCTTAATTAAGGGGCATTGGGCTCTTTGGGGAGAAACTCGGAGCCCAAGTCCTAGGTTTGAGACCTTGACCTGGCCTCAAGTCCTGAGTCGAAGTCGACACACAAAACCGCAGGCTCGTGGGGAGCTGAGGCACCCTAAACCCTAAACCCTAACCCTAAACCCTAAACCCTAAACCCCAAACCCTAAACCCTGGGCTTCTGGGTTAACAGCGCCTCCTGAGACGGCCCGCATCAGCATTGGCGGCCCCCCTGTGGGTGCTGCCGCTGCCTTGGCCGAGATGGCTCGACGCAGCCTGGGCTCAGGAGGACCTTAAATTTAGGGTTTTCGGGTTTAGGGTTTAATGTTTAGGGTTGAGGTTGAGAACCTCGAGAAAGCAACTTGAGATTTCAGGCGCCGGCTTGAAACTTTCGGCAAGGCTTTGGATGCTCGCTTTGCGGGTTTTTGCCACCTGCCCAGCTTCTGGGCGCACAGAACGGCATGCACCGCCACTGTGGATTCACAAAATCTTGCACCGCTTTTCAGCCATGTCTTTTTGCGTTCCCTGTGGCCCCTTTGTAACATTGGTCGAAATCTTGCACCGCTCAAGTAGTCCTAGCCGCCAATGTTAAGCAGGGGGTGAGGGGCTTGATGCCTCAATCGTTTGAAGTACGCATGTACAGGTGGTGCAAGATTTCGTTCATCCACCGAAGGGCAGAAGTGTTTTTGCATCTTTCGCACACCTACAGAAACTGGAAGCTGATTGTGCGTACCCATTTGCTACGGTGCCTGGACTCGGGACACACGACACAGCAACTCATTCCATCTACACTCAACACTACAGTCAAGTTGATACTGCCAAAATGCTGGAAAATCTAGCTTTTGCTGATTTGGCATTAAGAAGCTAGAAAAAATGTGTGTTTCCTATAAAAGCAAGAAGAGCATGCAAAATGACAGTCAACACTCAGTCAACACTACAGTCAACACTACAGTCAACACTACAGTCAACACTACAGTCAACACTACAGTCAACACTGCCAAAATGCTGGAAAATGCAGCAGTCTGCTGTTCTGGACATTAAGAAGCTAAACAATTCATGTTTTCCTTTAAAACAAGTGAATTGT